GTGTGTGTGTGTGTGTGTGTGTGTGTGTGTGTGTGTGTGTGTATGTGTGTGTGTGTGTGTTATGTGTGTTTTTAACTCCTGGATACTCCTGAGTTATGTGGAGATAATCACTAAATTTTCATGTAAGGAAAATGAGGTTGAGAGCAATGGAGTCACATGTACAGAACAGATCCAGAAGCAGGTTTTCTGGACTCAGGCGTCTTGAGTCCTGCCTACTCCCACAGTCTGGGGACTCGTTAGTATCCAAGAAGTATCAGATAACATTTTGACACATGAGCACCTAACTTAGTCTTCAAATCAACACTTGGATGAAGCTCAGGCCAAATATCACTGAGTTCAAATAAGTATCCGGGGCACAAAAATGAACATGAAATATTATTAAAAGTCAGTTATGAGTACAGTCTTAATAACTTAATAGATTTCAAACATTTTTCATTGGAGTGCAGAAATAATCATCTTTCAGCACGATCCTGTTGGAGTGGTCAAGGGACCCAATAGCAAAATCCTTAGGATCCTAAATAGAACCATGTGAGGTTGGTGGAGCTGAGGCGTTTTTAATAACTTCTGCATGTTCAGGGTCCTGTAACAGTGATTTTTCCTCAATAACTTCATTGTAAGTGAAGACTTGCACTTCAATATTTGGCATCTAATAAAGTAATCCTCCATACTGAAGCTTCATGACTGCTCGAAACTATTTGATGTTTTTCAGAAGTTGCACTCATAGTTTTTAATCTGAAAGGTTATTTTAATGTGATATTTATCAGTACACCAAGTGAGTTTATAAAGTTTAGAGTTAGGATGTAATATGACCTTTATTAATCTTCATGTTATTTTTTTGAAAATTTGTAAACCTTTTTTTTAATCTCCAAAAGAATATAGTTTCTGTATAAAGTAATCTAATATATTCTATTATGATTATGATAACTCTCCCTGTTCTAAACTCTCCAATATTCCTTCATTCAAAAGTTAGAAGCCATATTCAAAAGATTTCCCATGCAAGCTGCTTCTGTATTCATTGAGAACTACTGTAGCATTTTATTCTTATAATTAGGAAACATGCATTTATTTCTCAATGATCTATTAAGAGTTCAACTTAAAAAGCTCAGATGTCATATCACAGAATAGTTACTTATATTTGAAAAAGTATTCAATTATTAATAAGAATTTGATCATTGTCTTGTTTTTTATTACCAATGTTGTTTCTGCGGTTAGAGCTGATAGTCACCTCTGAACATTTTCATACCACACAATTCCAGAAGACAGGCTTCAGTGTGAGTTAGCCACTCTACCAAAGCCTGTGACGAGAGCCAGAGGTAGATTGCTGATGCGGTCGTCATTTGGCGTGCTCCTCTAACCTGTTCTGAATTCCCCTTCAGCTGGAGGATAAGTGCCAGCGAAGCTCTCAAGCACCCCTGGCTGTCAGACCACAGGCTCCACTCCAGACTGAGTGCACAGGTGACCCGGCTTCCTGTTTCCGTTTGTCTGCTTCATCAAATTCTATGGTCAACTCGGCCTTGAGTGAGATTTCTCATAGTGTCTTTGCTCACAGTTTCACATCTTGTGCTAGAAATAAATTGCTTCAAGTATTTTAATTGACATTAATGTTATATTTTATATATGTTTCATAGATTGTCTTTAGCATTATGAAATCATTGTATCTGTTGTAAAATGTATTGCACCACAGACTCACACACATATATAGATATATGGCCTGAGATTTATAAAAACAGTTTGGAGAAGATATGCTAATATACTTTTAGGAGAATGCTCTCCCTAAAACAAAATTCATAATTCTAAATTCTCTGTTTACCTTGTATACTTTATTCTCCTCTGGGTACCAGATCTTCTAATGCTCAGCTTTGGTATGAGCATATGTTTTAGCATATGTTCAAGAGATTTTTATTAGAGTACTTACTGAGGGTAATTGAGTCCATACTATTCTAATTTCTCTTAGGGTGAAATCTCTCTCTGCTCCCATCACCTTAGTTTTTGCATTCCGACTCCCTCATCTTCTTTTTGGTAGAGATTTCATGCATTCATGAGTCTTCTTAACCTTACGTCAAACTCATCTTCATCTTACTTCACTAACAACTATTCTTCCAGCAAAGAACATCCATTATATGGCAGCAATCAGCTCATGAGCATCTCCTTTTTCCTTCCTGTCTCAGTTCCCCCATCTCATATTTCATTAATCTCCAAGTTCTATACCTTGTATGTTCTAATTGAATTAGGAATCTCTCCAGCTCTCTCCATCCCATGTTGCCCTGGCCTGGGACCTGCTCCCTGAATTGCTACAGTAGCCTCCTGACTGTTTCTCTGCCTCATTTGCTTTTTTTCTCCCAAATAACCATGGATTTTTGAGATAACACGAAAGCAGATGCATTAAGTAACTTGACGCTTAGGCTTAACTGGGATAGAGGAACATGGAGACAGTTAGCAACCCCACCTTCAGCTTCCAGCTTATATGGATGTCTCTGATGGGTGCATTGGTTGGGTAGCTGGTGCCAGCCTGGGACAGTACACACTCTCCACACTTCCATTTATTCCTGCTCTTCTCTTCATCATCCCCACTCCCTGGGGTTTGGAAAGGAACTTCTCTCTGACCAGCAAACCTTGGAATGACTCTACTCCAGGTTCTCACTTTTTCCACAGCCAGTTTTTATTGAAATTAAATCTACATCTAAATTCAGCATCAGTACTGAGTTTTATTTGTGTCTGAATATACCTTTCCTTGATAATTGGTACTGATGCCAAATAAAAATAGACTTATTACCTAGCCAGTACCTCACCCAGACTGCATAAACTGCTTATTAGGATGACCAGCCTATTTTGAGCCCACTTTCCACCAATGTATTTTTAACCAGGAGTCTAAATACACTTTGACATGTCAGGACAATATAGAAACCACAGCAAGGAATTAATGACATTATACAGACTAAAAAGTGTTTTAAAATACTTTAAATCATGTGAGCACAACTACAAAAATCAGCTTTTTGTTATCCCACCCAACCTGCAATACCTGAAGCAAATTGATATCATAAGAAAATAATTTTTAAAATCTCCATGCATAAGTCTAGTCATTATTAAAGTGATACTTATGTGGAACTGACTCTAACTGCTTTACAAAGATTAACACATGCAACCTCATGCTGCCCTCATGAACCTGGCATTATTACTATTGCCCACTTTGTAGATGAGAACACTGAGGTGGGGGCAGGGAAGCATTGGAGTATGGGCAAAGCTTTATCACGCTCCTGATGGATGGGGAGGGGCTTGGAGCTTATTTCCAGACCCAGTCTAGTACTATATATGTTTGGTGTTCCCGGGTGCCTAAATACGACCAGTGCATTTTATTTTTCAATAAAATACAGGTTAAGCATCCCTTACTTACAATGCTTGGGACCAGAAATATTTCAGATATTGGATCTCTTCAAATTTTGGAATATTTGCATATAAATAATGAGATATCTTAAGAATGGGCCCCCGATCTTAGCATGGAGTTCCCTTGTTTCATGTACACCTTATGCATACCGTCTTCAGGAAGTAGTGTACAGTGTTTTCAGTGCCCTGCATTTTGCCTGTTAGCACAGAAAGTCAGGTGTGGCCTTTTCTACTTACAGAGCCATGTTGGAACTCAAAAAGTTTTAGGTTTTGAAGCATTTCAAATTTCAGATTTTTGGATTAGGGATACTAAACTGTGTTGAGACTAAACTTTTGCAGATTTACTTTTGAAATAATCTGTATCTTATATGTTCTCTAAAATAAGAATTTACATTGTATTAAAATATTAATTCTGATCCCAAACTACCATTTGACCTAACTTTTATTTTAAAGTATTTTATGTTTTCTTATTTATCTATTTTAATTGTTTTATGTTTGAAAGCTCTTAACTAGCTTTTGATCAGTTGAAACATACCCATCTTCTCTTAAGAAGCTTGTTTTTCCTCTCTTAGAAATTAAAGCTTGGGAATTCTCTGCTTTCTGTCTTAGACTTTAAGGGACACACTGCTCTGTCTTATATCCCCAACAATACACCACACATCCTCATCAGAAACAACCCTCTCATCTATCAGAACTCAGTAGGTACCTCCTACAAAATTCCTCAGTGCTCTGGAGCCAGAAGAAAGAAATGTGAGCAAGGATGATGTAGCTTCCTTTCTCCTGGAACAAAACTTCCTTCTCTCTTTCTTCCTGTTTTCAGGACTGCCCACTTTGTGCCTGCTCTTCTCCCAGTGAACAAAAACAGACTGTAGGCCAATACTCACTGCCATTCATACTCTACCAAAGGATTTCCTTACTTCCAATGTCTCTGTTAGTCATCTTTTCATCACTATAACAAATATACAAGATGATGAAGTTCTTGTGCTAAGTTTTCTTATTTTACATCACAATAATAATCTCATTACTATTGCTCCCGTGGAGATGTAGAACAAGACAGTTCGCTGTGGCCAAGAAGAGAAAAACAGCGAGAACAGGCTTGGGTCCTATTGCCCCCATCAAGGTCATGCCCCCAGGGACCTTTTAGAGGTTCCACCACCTCCAAGTAGCACCACAGGCTGGAGATTAACCTTTTATTTAGCACATGGGCTTGAGGGTGGGACAGCTAAAATCCAAACTGTGTCATGACAATCCCCAATCAGAAAGTCTTCGGACATCTCCCACTGTTCACACCAAGACACCAGACCAGCAGCCTCAGCTATTCTAATACATCCTAAACTCTAGTCCTGTCTCAATTGCTCTTTATCACCTAGAATCCTGTTGACTAAAGCTGATGTTCAATGCCACCTCCTTTACAATGGCTGTAGGATCCCCATCTGAGACCTTGTCTGTCTTCTTAAATCTTCCCATGCCCCTTAACTACACTGACCGGAAGCAGCCATGCCCTTTAGCAGTCATAGTCCCAGTGTCGTGAGTACTGGCTCTTTTGCTTTGCCACAGTGGGCTTTGAGCAAATATACATTTGCAACTTAGATACAGTGAGGGAGGAAGTGGGTTGACGTGGCTTCGGTGGAGGGAAGGGAATCGATGACAGGATGTCACAGTACAAGGGAGGGGGAATGGGTATGTCTATCAGAAGGCTGCTGACAATTTTATCCTCTTGGATGTCTCTAGAAGATCACCACAAACCCAGTAGTAAATTATCAGTTCTTCACATGCTGTCCTATTGTAAGTCAGAACCTGATTAAACCTGTTCTAATCCTTCCCCCACTGTCTCTGTTTCCCTAGAAGAACTCTAACTCTGGTGCTCAGAACCTCATGACCAAATAACTCACGAAGAAGCTTATTCAAAAGGTTGGTCTCAAGTTTCCCCCACCTCCTGCCATGGGAACACATTTGCTTGGGGATAACTAACTGGGATTTGCACCCCAGGAAAACCAGATTCCAGTCATCATGAAAATGTACTTCTCTGGTCTTGGGACTGTTTGCTGAGTGGTGTCTGTGTATTGCTTGCGTGGATGGGGTAGGAGAGAAATGGGGTGTTTCTTGTACAGACATTGAGTGACGCAGGCCGTGTTTGGGCTGGTGGGTAGAAGAAAGCTCCAATCAGATTATTGTGTTTTCTTCTTTCCAGCTTTATCATGTCATGGGGAAGAAGTGCAGTTCCCTATTGTGTGCATTGTAGGTAGTCCACTGCCCCAGTTTGCAGAGTGGTCGCACTGAGATAACACAGACAGAGCCCTAAAACTTCTTAGCTCAATGGGCTCCAGGCTTTGCACAGAAATTGTCTCAGGTTACCCTTATAGTTGTGATACCTGGGAAAATGAAAGAGCTCACCCAAGGCTTTGCAGACTTTACCTGCAAACAGTGGAGTGAGATACCCCATTATTCTAGAAGCTAACACCCACACCCACAACACAGCAGCTGCCCCTGACCCTGGCTGTGCTTCTGACCCCAAGAAACTCACGCATGGGTTCTCTGCCCCATGTTCAGTTCCTTTGGATCGTTAAGGGATAGTTTGGGGGGCATGCCTTCTTTTATACCAATAATAAATTCAAGGCATGTTCTAGAGAAGACAGAACACAAGAGAGACTTAGAAATCCCGACATTCAGCGCTTAGAAAGGGCTACCTCCCTAATCTTACAAAGTCCATGGTCATTCTTGCAACTAAATTTTAACAACTGCACAGGGCTTACATTTTTGCAGCGGGCAACTGGTCTTTCTCCCCCCACCCCCACCTCCCTTTTCATCTTGTGGTGCCTGGGACCAATCCAGAGCTTTATGTATGCTAAGCAAGCGCTCTAACCTTGAGCCATAAACTCCAGCTCTAACTGGTTTTAATCTTTCATTCTGATCTGTACTTTTTCTGGGCCCAGGGTTTCTGCTTGTCTGTCTGCCAGGATATAGTCTTTTAAGTGGCCTTGAATCTTTTAGAGAATAAGATGGAGAGGGAAATAAATCAGTATATCATAGTCAAAGGCTCAAACCAGGGTTTGGAAAGCACGTAGCCTTCTTCGTCAGGGTTATTTAAAAGTCTTTCATTTATTTAGAAATCTATGAAGAGTCAAGGAGAAGGTTTGGGCTTTGTGTTTACAGGACCATGCTTGCTCGTCAGAAACTGTAAGGGCACTCAAGGGAGAGGAGGTGGAGGAAGGGAGCTCTTTTAGGCCCACAGGAGCCCTGGGCCTAAGCGACAGCACTCAGCCACAGGCGGCACTGGGAGCTGTGAACAGCCAGGGCTCCAGGCAAGCAGGCCAATCCCCATCTCCCTTCTCCCCCACCCCTTCCTTTAGAAGCAGCTTTGTCCCCAGCCACCACAAACCCCCAGGCTTTGCCACAAACCACCTTCCCACAGAGAGCACTGGAGTCACTCTTGAGGCCTGGTGGGAATGAGTGCTCTGGGTGACAGGAGGTTGCATTCCCAAGGCGGGCCTGTCGCCAGGGTCTGTGGGGGGAGAATGAAGAGGAAATGGCAGTGGGAGGAGGTGAAGTCCTTCCATGCCAAAGCTGTCACTTTGAACCCAGGGTGATGGAAGACAGTGCAGCCCATGTAGGGGCGGAAACGGAAGCATGGAGCTGGTCACACCATACCCATATCGCTGGGTAGGCTCAGCTGGAATTGCTGAGCTCAGACAGGTTGGCTTCCTGACGGTCTGGCGCTGCTTGCCTCTCTTCCCTGGGTTCCTCTAGCCCCTTTGGCCTTCGAGGCTCCTTGCAGGCCAGCAGGAATGATTTCAGATCTACACGATCTTCCTGCTTCATTATTTGCTTTCCTCCTTTTAGTCTCAATTGTAGGGGTAGAATCCAGCCTTATGCTTAATGTGCATGGGGTCTCCTGCTTGCCTGGAGCCCTGGCTGTTCACAGCTCCCAGTGCTGGCTGTGGCTGAGTGCTGTCGCTTAGGCCCAGGGCTCCTGTGGGCCTAAAAGAGCTCCCTTCCTCCACCTCCTCTCACTTGAGTGCCCTTACAGTTTCTGACGAGCAAGCATGGTCCTGTAAACACAAAGCCCAAACCTTCTCCTTGACTCTTCATAGATTTCTAAATAAATGAAAGACTTTTAAATAACCCTGACGAAGAAGGCATGTGCCACTATTTTTAAATTAAAAACTAAATGTAAGTATTAACTCAGGATGGCAAACTCCAGACCAGCCTGGCCTACAGAATGAGTTCAAAGTCAGACCAGACAACTTACTAAAGCCTGTCTCAAATTTTAAAATTATAAAAGAGAGCTGAGGCTACAACTCCCTGGCAGAGTGCTCACTCAGTATATGCAGAGCCCTAGGGTGACAGGAGACACCAATTCTCTTTATCACACACACACACAAATGTGTGTGTGTGTGTGTGTGTGTGTGTGTGTGTGTGTGTGTGAATGTAGGCAACTATCAACACTGAGCAAACCCACTTGAGAAGATGAGTGAGGCTTTGGGAAGATCTTATACATGAAACTAAGTTTGAGATGAATATTTTAAAAAATTTGGTGGTTAAAGATTATTCTTGTGGAAAAGAAAGAGATGTAGGTTCTATGAATAAGGCACAATTCACAATGTAAATTGAGGAATATAAGTCTCCTTCAATCTGTTAGAGGTTTCCAGATGCACCAATAAAACACTTAGAACCAGCCTGGTAGCTTTCTGTCCATTGTTTCCAACTTTAAGTCTTCTCCCATCTATGAGGCATAAAAATTGAGATGTTGCTTAGAAAGGAGTCTGGGCCGTAACAATGTACAAATCTCAATCAGAAGTGAGAATATGGTCAGCTCTTATCTTCATGCAGCTCTTATCTTTGGATCCATTCAGCTGTAGACAGAAAATATTTAGAGGAAAAAAATTGTAGGGAAAAAATGGGGAACTCGTCATTGTTCCCTAAACAATGAGACATAATTATTCACAAAGCCTTATACTGCTGGCATTATTAGTCACCCAGACATGATTTCAGACACGTGAAAAGCGGTATGTGGGTTTTACACAAATTTTATGTTACCTTATTTTAGCTTCTGTGGATCCTGGCATCTGTGGGAGGGTCAGTGGAACCACCCCCCACAGATACTGGGGGACCGAATCCCCTGCCTAGCCCAAATTCTCACTTTGACGCTGAAATCAGGTTGACTGTGGACTGATGACAACGGCCTAGGAGAGGCCGAGCTTCAGATGAAACAAAGAGGGCCTTGTCTTTCAGTATTGCGAATAATGTTAAAATGCTCAAAGGGACTTAAAAAAAAAAAAAAAAAACCAACCAGTCCTGGTGAGCGGTGGAATCTGTCAAACGTTTTCCTTCTGTCTCACACACATACACACATACATTATGAAAAATCATCTGTGGTTTTCCTAAGGGGCACCACCGACTAATTACAATTTTAAAGTCCTGCTGAATTAACAAGATTGGTATTTTGTTTGCTTTGCAGGAAAACTGCTGCGGTTGCTGCTGCTTTGAGAAGGCTTCTGGAAAAATCAGCAGTTCTGGTGCCTTGACCCCTGTGATGACTGGCAGCCATAGCACGGGCAGCCTTGAATTTGAACTTGGAGAGGCTTTTCTGTGCTCAGCGGGTGACCCAGGGCCATTCCCTAGGGGCTCAGGCAGATGCCCACATCCCACTTAGTACACAGAGGGGAAGCTGTTTCTCTGACTTCTTGGCTTCTTGTGTTTCGATGTTTGTTTTTAGTTTTGGATGTTAGCGGGGCAGCGGGTATGCTAGGCTATTTCTCAGACTACCAGGGCAGTGCTTGAGATCTAAAACTCTGGAGGATGTATTTGGAGAGAGAAAATGCCTTCCAGTCATTGCCCTGTGCTCCTCAAGGGGGCAATTACATCACCAGGAAAATTCTAAGGTTTGGACACTTTGATTTGCATTTCTATGTGGTCTGAAATGGGATGAATTCAACAGATAATTAGTTTGCTGGAACGTAAGGCCTCTATGGCAAGAGACTTCACACATGGCACCTTCCATGTATTCTTAACTCTCTCCCAAGTGCAGCAGTTTCTACCCAGTGCCTGATTCCATGTTCAGATTCATACCACACCTTTCCACAGAGTGCGCTTTGCTCTGGTCTAACGGGCAAGTTCATTCCTATTAAACATGGTGGTTTGGGGAGGTGATGCAAGGATATCTCTTTGTGGTTAGTCCTTAAAATGACAACCTTCAAAAGACAAGAGCTTCCTTCACGGCCTAGGTGTCACCAGTAGGAGATAGATCTGTGCATCCTGGGGAAGGGCAAGGCTCGGTGTCCAGTGCTGGTGACTAGAAAGTGGTTCTCCAGCTTCTGGGTAAACTGAAGCATTTAGAAGACCAATAATCATAGTTATTCAAATTCACAACTTGCAAATTCTCACAGGCATCAACAGTTGTGAGATGATAAGGCAAAACTGATTTCTGGTTGAAAACTTTTTTTTTTTTTTTTTTTTTTTTTTTGAGACAGGGTCTCCTTATGTAGCCTTGGCTGGCCTGCACCCTGCTATGTTAACTAGGCTGGCTTCAAACTCATAGCTGTCCACTTGTATCTACTCCAGAGTTGTGGGATTAAAGGTACATACCATCATGCCTGGCATTGGATGCAAACTTCTTATTTCCTAGCTCATGGGCCATTTGCTGTCAGATATTTCATAAGGAACATGAGCATGAGTGTAGGTGACATTTAGGGTATAGAAAGCTTTGGGGCTATAGACAGCAAAATGGGCAGTATTTCCGTATGAAGACAAAACTTTGCAAAGCTCCCTGAAATCCCACTGCACACTCAACCTCTCCTTTCCAAAGTGCTGTTGTGTTTAGCTCAGCAAAAATGATGCCCCCATTTTTAGCCATAATTTGATGTCACCATTGCAATGGGTAAGAATGACCTAGTGACCCTGTCATTGAGGGCCAACTTAAGGTACATGGCTAATCACTAAACTCTCACAGCCATACATTTGTCTACCAATAAATAATGCCTCCTTATAGTATTTGCGTTCCCAACTCTGAAGTAAATGAGAAATAGGTGCCGTTCAGTGAAGGCCAGTACTATTTGTTGTGCTAGTTGTAAAAATCTGCTCCTCTCAGCCAGTGTTCTCATGCTGTGACATGTCTTCCTTCGGCCCGTGCATTCACCCAAGGTTGGTTTCTCATATCCCTATTAAGCTTAAACTCTTTCTTTCTTTCTTTCTTTCTTTCTTTCTTTCTTTCTTTCTTTCTTTCTTTCTTTCTTTCTTTCTTTCTTTCTTTC